TCTTTAAATACTGCTACGAAAAGCAAGTGATGAAAATGCTACGCTATGCAAGCAGTTTTTCTGTAAGGGCAGGGGTGTTCTAGGAGCAAAAGAATACATGACCATATTTTTGGAAAGAGTAATAAAATCACACCATAGGATTTAGTCTAAATCTAACACATTCCCTGAGGCTATCAAAAAAATGAAAATACAAGCTTCCTGCCATAAAAAAACCTAACCATTCTTTGAATAGTTAAGTTAACTGAAGTCTCTCTTTACAAGTTGAAACAGCTAAGGATATCTTACTACCGTGTTTCATGTTGAAAGGAATGCAAACTAGGTACCAGACCAACCTCCTAGATAAACGGGCTTTTTTCCTCTTCATTTATGTCACTTGGCAGTGAACTATCATTTCAATATTGTACATAATTCAGATCATATCCCTTTGAAGTTTTGATTCCCTTTATTTTCTCCTTGAATATTTTATTTAATAATAAAAATTAACACCATAATGAGTAGTCCTCATGTTAGGATGGCAACAAAAGAATCTGTTCTACTATATATTACTTCACATGACAAGAGGTCCTGTAGATGATCTTGAGGAATGTGGTCAAACAGACAAAACCCATCAAGTTCACTGATTACTTCCAATAAAGGCAAAGATATGAACACCAGGGAGGTGAAAGAACTGTTTAAACAAGATTATCAAAAGAATAAACTCATATACTACTAAAACTACAAACAGATCAGATAACTGTAAGAAAAATATTTCAAATTTCTAAAATTCAGAATATTCTTGGAACAGAAATGTGTAGGAAAGGAATGAAAAGGCCTTAAAGGTTTATAGACTGGTTGACTGTAACTACTGATGGGAGTCTCATGATAGACAGTGAATGAATTTTCAGTTTCAGCTGGTCATTCTCCCTGCTTCCTTTTTCCTTTTCTTTTTTTTCTTTTTAATGGTTTCTGAGATACTTTTAACATAGAGTTGAATCTGTATTTAGTTACTTGGCTGGGCCTATAATCAGTACACTATACAAGTAACTTGTCCTCCTCATGCTATTCCAGATAATGAGGCACTGAGAAACAACCATGAGGTATATTTCAAAACTAGACCAAAATAAAGATTACTGTGGCTTGAAGGGTGTATGGGAAGGATATACATCAAAGTAGGACAAATCATGTGAAACCATCATCAACATGTTTTGTTCAAACATATGTTTATTTTGGTGCATTTTTGCAAAAAGACAACTATGAACTAAATTAAATGACTGGTGACATAAATACATAGACGAATTAAAGTTTCTTTCTCTAGACTAAAGTGAATAGATGGCACATATATTACAGAACAGATTTTAGTAAAATAAAGTGACTAAATAGTTCACTGCTAATAATACCTACCATACAGAAAACATAAAATGTCTGGATTGGAGATTACTAGGAAGCCAGTAATTTTTATGTAAAATTTAATTCCCAAGCTACCTGACTTTGAAATTTGATTGTGCCAAGACGGACGAATATGGCACCAAGTCTGGCTGTGACAATTTCATAAATAGGTAAGCCTTTCAGACATCTCAGGATGCATCAAAAGTTACACAGCGGTGTGCACTGCCAAGTACTTAAATCACTTAATTTTTCACAAGTGTGAGTCACTGTTGCTTAGATTTTGTACACTGAGTTATAAAGCCAGCCAATGTTACTAGTGATGGATGAATTTTGGCAGGTAGAAGATGTAATCTTTAGCAGAAGCATTGCTAGAAAACTGTATAAAACCAATACATATATTCTAAAAGTTATGGTCCCCCACTCAGCTGGGCACTGAACTTTCACTGATGGTAATCAAATGCAGGTATTCTCCACCAACAGATGATGCACAGCAAGTTTCTTAAGCATGAGATCAATAGTTGACAATTTATTCTTCTTGGTAAGGAAAATATATTTTGAGACAGAGATGTGTTTTCCTATTTTAGCCCATTAAGTCTGTTCAATATTCACAAACAGAATTTACTGGAGCTGTGTCAAATTATTAAAGTGGTGTTGCAACAGGGGTAGCAAACAGGAAAGGACTCACCCTCTCCACTCTGCCCTCTTTAGACCACAGGTAGTGGTCCAGTTTGGGAGAGCAGTAAAAGAGAGACATCAAGAAAACTGACTGAACTCTGCAGAAGGGTGCTGGAGCACTGTCCCCTTGAGGAGAGGTTGGAGGACTAGGGCAAGTTCAGCCTAAAGGTAGTTATGGGTAGAAAAAGGTTGACTTCTTGTATGTATTACATCGAGACAGTTGCACAAAATAATCAATATTGGGCCTAGCAATTGAAAAGAAATTGACAAAATGTGTTTTTGGGCATGCTCAATCACTGGAAAGCATAAATTACAGAAGTCTTTTAAAATTTTCCCCTTTTCCAAACAGTTTAATGTTCCATTTCTATAATGACTGGATAATATCAGTCTCATTCTTTAGTTCTCTTGTTTTATGCACACACTGAGATCCAGTTATTTCTTCCAAATGTGATTGTCTTATCAATTCACAGTCAATTTAACTGATTTCAGTTCAATAATTAAGTTGAAAAAATAAAGGATAGACAAAATTGCATTTTGTGAGGCTATTCTCTCTTTAAGTGCACCTTGTAATACTTTTTGTTTTGACACAAATAAATCTGTTACAAAATCACTGTAGTGAAATAAATCTCTGCTATGGAAATATATTGTTTAAGATTATATTAAATTTTTTACCCTCTCTGTCCTGGACATACCAGGAGATGCAGTAACCATTCTATATAAACACAGTTAAAATGGAGTAATATAAGGTGTTGTGTGGTTTGTTGTTGTTGTTGTTGTTGTTGTTTTTTCGGTTTTTTGGTTTTTTGGTTGGTTTTTTGTGGGTTTTGGTTTGGTTTGGTTTGGTTTTATTGGTTTTTTTTTGTTTTGGTTTGGGGTTTTTTTTTGTTTTTTTGTTTTTTTTTTAAAAAAACATTGGCTAATCAGACTATTCTTCTTCTCTGTTTCTTCAAATTTTAGGTCAAGAATCAATTATTTTTATGGATCAATTTTTGAACTAAAAATAGGAAATAGGAAAGACATGCCACAAATATCAACTTGGGAGAGTAAAACTGGACTAATAAAACCAAAATAAAAATAACAGCAGTATTTTCCACAAAATTTCAGTTGAAGATCTATGGATTTTATATTGAGTGTATCCTTCAAGTCTGTCTTCTAGTTCCATTTCCTCTGGAAGCAACCATGGCACTCAAGGCTGTGTTAAAATGCACAACAACGTGAATAAGAGCTATCAGAAAATTGTTTACTGAGGTGTATTTCTAATCAAAATTAAAATCTTAATACACATGACTCACTTTTCTTGAAGCCAATAGGGTTATTTATGTGTTTAAAACCATACATAAATCTTGTACCTTATTAGCCCTAGGCTTTATTTTATAATGCTTCACAGTCAATTAATGACAAAAACTGAGCTATAACTAGGAAAAATAATGATTGCCTTAAGAACTACATTACAAAAAAAAAAAAAAAAAAGAAAAGAAAAAATAAGAAAAAAAGAAATGCAAATTGTCATCACTTAGTAATTATTTCATAGGACATTTCTTCCATTCATCTTTCCAACCTTGTCCAAACTGTTATTTTCTCACAAACTTTGATTTGGGTCATTAAACATATTTTTAGTCCCACTGGGACTTTTCCCTTAATGCATTTTTTCAAAGAAAGCTGAGTACATTATTAGGCTGATCTTCTATCAGCTGCTGATAAGACCTGGCCTTCTGTCGACAGTGGAAAGAACACTATTAAAAACTCTCACAGGAAACCTGTGATTCACTGCTTTTATGTTTGAAGTCACACAAAGAAGAATTAGCAAATAGAGGCAAATTTCTGTCCAAGGTTGGAGGTTTGCAAATTTCAACACTTCCTAGATCAGAAAGAAAATGCCATCTCTTTTCCCAGACTGAGCAAAATGTTACATTACAGAGAAAAAAAATGCTTATTTGTCATAACATTCTTCTTCCTTACCCAGACTGTCTTTCCCAGACTGCTGAAGTTGAAAGATATAAATTTTGGGTTTGGTAACTACTTAATTAGCTTGTACAATAGTCTTTTTAAGATTAAATACTGTCAGTAAAATATAGGGATGTCCCTCAAGGAGATATTTAGTACCTTCTTTTTAGGCACATGGTGTAAGGACTTAAAATGTACAGTTGCCTGTCTCAAAGCACTGTCAAGGTCACAGAGGGAACTTGCCATAAGATAAGAAATCTCAGTGGGAACCTGAGATAAGCTCAGAAGGGAGGAATTTACAAGAGGAATGTACTAATTTGAAGCCTGATGGACATAAGGTGTGGTTAACACATCCTGGTTAATGCATCTGGACAAAAATTCCCACTTCGGTAAACTGTGGGAAAGGAAGCAACTGCTGTTACACATCTACCCCAAACTATGTGAACACCTGCGACCACCCCATGGATACCCAGAACTTGGACTCTGTAAAAGGTAGTACCACCAGAAGAATGATCTGGAGAATCCCACTACCCAGAAGCCCATCAGTTGCCGGGCCCTTTGTGATGCAGGACCTCCTTGGGCCCAGAGGCCATTGTGACACCGCGGGGCCCCGCCCTGACCGGGAGGGTAACGAGGGAGGACAGGGCCCTGGAGTGTCCACTCCCAGGAGAGCCTCTGTGTCAGGAGGCAGCATCTCTCTCGGGGACCTCAGCGGCGGAGGAAGAAGCCGACGC